CCGTCGAATCGATTCGATGGATCGGCGATCGGTCGTCGTATCGATTCGACGGATCGGCGATCGCGATTCGACAGGTCGGCGATCGCCGTCGTGATAAAATATGCCATTTTAATTGTATATATTAATTTATTGTATATATTATTATTTATTATTATTAATTATAATTAAGACTGGAACAAGAGGAGCGTGCCCTGATACCGCGTGAAGTACTGGAGAGGAAGAACCGCGAATTGAGGGAATCGGCGTATAAAAATACCGTAATTAGGTTTAAATTACCTGATGGTACCATAATTCAGGCGAATTTTATGTCGAAGGAACGGGGTGAGGTCTTATTTGTTATTATTTTTTATTATTTATTGATATTTATTATTATTTATTTATTTGTTATTGTTATTTATTATTATTTATTGTTATTATTTATTATTATTTATTGTTGTTGTTATTTATTATTATTTTTTTAATTTTTTTAAAATTGCAGTGTCAAGAATTTTCGAGTTCATTGGAGATCTACTATTGGATAAAAGTAAAGAATTTGGACTGTATTTGGCACTGAGCCAACAATTAAAAAATGACAAAAATAAAAATTTATTCGAATGTTCACTGGTTCCAACGTGTACAATTTTTGTGCGATTCCGTGAGAATTGCGAGGATTACGGTAGGTTTTAGTTATTTTTATTATTTATTGTTATTGTTATTATTTATTACTATTATTTATTATTATTATTGTTATTATTTATTGTTATTATTGTTATTATTTATTATTATTATTATTGTTTTAGTGGGGTTGTTTTCTGAAAGTTTATTGAAGAGTGCAACGTGGGAGCAGGCGAATGCAGCGAGTAAACAATGGTATTAATTATTATTATTTATTATTATTATTTATTATTGTTATTTAATATTTATTGATATATATCTTTATTAATTATTATTAATTATTGTATATATGAATTTAAGGTTGTCTGAGAACGGTATCTTCAAGGAGTATAAACCTCAAATAAACCCTGCCCAGAGCAG